TATTACTATGCCACTTATTTCCAGGCCTTCGATAATATAAGGTCTGCTTACGATATAGATAGTGTTCGTATCACCTCCACTTCTTATAAGGTGGGTGTTAATACTGGTTATACGGCATTGGCACGGGTCATGGATGTACAGATAAATGAGATGCCGCAACTGATGCATGTATTTGCCGCCGGCAATCAGTGGAATAGTCTTTACAGCATAACCGGCGGCCACAGCCAGGCCAAAAACCTAATTACGGTTAGCAATGTCACTGCCCAGGATGCGTTGGCGCCAAGCAGCAGCTGCGGGCCGGCGGCTGACGGGCGTATTAAGCCGGATATTTGTGCCGTTGGTTCAGATGTGCTTTCAACGATAGACGTTAACAGGTATTCCGTTAAGTCGGGAACCTCTATGTCCTGTCCGGGGGTGGCCGGTGTATTGGCGCAATTATACCAGGCATATAAATCGATGCATGGCGGCGAGAACCCGCCTTCTGCCTTAATCAAGGCAGCGGTACTTAATACGGCGGACGACATTGGCAATCCTGGCCCGGACTTTCGTTTTGGTTATGGCAGGATCAATGCCCGGCGGGCCTTTTCTATATTGAAAAATAATCAGTATCAGACCGGTGTGATCACACGGGGAGCTTCACAAACACATACGATTGCAGTACCTGCGAATGTGGCTGAAGTAAAGATCATGGTTTATTGGCATGATAAGGAGGGTACGGCCGGTGCGGCAAAGGCACTCGTCAACAACCTGGACATGACGGTTACCACACCGGCCGCAACAACGGTATTGCCCTGGGTCTTAAATGAAGCGTCGGCGAATACAAATGCCATTCATGGAATTGATGCATTGAATAATATGGAACAGGTAACCATTCCAACACCTGTTGCCGGCAATTACACGGTTAATATAAGCGGATTTTCAGTGCCACAGGGACCTCAGCATTATTATATGGTGTATGAGTTGGTGACGAATGATATTGTGGTTACTTACCCGATGGGAGGCGAGTCTATTGTTCCCGGTATCCCTGAAATGATACATTGGGATACCTATGAAAAAACAGGGATATTCACGGTTCAGTATTCTACGGACAACGGAGCAAGCTGGGTTAACATAAGTACAACCACTCCCGGATCTGTACGTTCCCTTAGCTGGACGCCGCCGGCAACGGTTACCGG